GGTGTCTGTGGTGAAGAGAAGTCTACAGCCAACAGTGAGGGCAAAGGCTGAGCGGGATCAGGAATGGTCCTCTCCCATGCCCAAACTGAAGGCTTAGGACACCCAGGCAGTCTGTTCTTTCCCAGTCAACCTTCTACTGGGCAGGAGGCTAGGGCAAAGCAGATGTCATGGTCTCCTTTAGCGATGACCTCTCTCGGGTACATTAGAAAATATCCTCCAAATAACTCTCACTAATAAACATAAAAGAAAAACAAAACTTAAATTCCTTATGATATATGGCATGAAATGATAGTTCCACATTCCCTTCAAATATATTCAGGCTTTGGAAGTACACAAGTGTTGTTGGTACCATTTTTTTCTCCCAGAGCATGTCACTCCCTCTTCTCTGTAGTTACCGTGTAATTTACCTGTTCTGCACCAACAGAATTTGAAGCCATTGCAGGTCAATGCAAATGTGGACTTTCCAATAGAAATACCATCTGCAACTTCTCCTCCAAACAGCAGCACAGGGTTTGCTGAAAAGGCTGGATTTGCTACATGATGCCCATCACAACCAAATAGATACCTCGACAGCTTTACAATCTCTCTATATAATTATCCTGCAAGGGAGCATAGGTGTTTTGTTTGTGGGTTTTTTACTGTGGACTGTTTATATGGAAGAAGCCCGCAGCATTTCCCTGGTGCCACTTCCAGTGTCCGAAAAAGGAGACCTGGACATGTGCTCCCTTTCCCCCTTGTGGCCGGATTCCCATGAGATGGAAACAGAAAACAAGAGCCAAAAGGGAGCTGCGTCTCTGATGTTGGCAATCACAGGAGCAGGTCTGCAGAACACACAGCAGCAGACTGCTCTTAGCCCTCATACAGACAACCTAAAAATGACATTATTTGCTACAAGAACCATTTAGAAGGAGCTTCCCTTTTTCTTACATCATATTGAAACAAAATTTTTATGTGACTTCAGAAGAGTTGTGACTGTCTAGTCACTAGGTCTGGATGGCACCCAGTCATCTGCGCAGACAGCAGGTTATAGGCTCGGTGTTGCCCAGGTCACAGAGAAAGAAGTTTCTGCGTTGTATGAGTCAGAATAAAATTACTCTTCGTGCAGCACCATACAAAACCAAACAGAATCTGCCATTGCGTGCTTTAGCAGCAGCACTGGGGACTCAGCTCAGGCTTTGGAAATCGTGGATCTGCTCCCTGTCCATTGGTGCCCTCCAGCAAAATACCTTCTTGTCACACACCTTGTTTTCCTCATCTTTGGAGTACAACACAATCCTCTGTAAAGCATCTTTATAATGCTTGCACTGTAAGGTATTTTAGCAGATGTCACACTTGTCATTGTGACAGCCGATTCAGGTGAACCACAGGAGGGCTTTTTTCAGGATTTTGCCTCCCAGTATCATTTCACTTGCTCTGAAGATGGCAAGTCCTGCCTCCCCAGTGTTGCCCTAGGAGCTTCCTTCTCTGCAGCTGTGGCCCTCCATTAGGTTATTTGCCTCACAAAAAACAGCCCTCCCACGTTCTCAGCACCTGGTGGTTACCCAGACAGCGCAGCAGCAGTGTAAAAGAGAGAAGGAAAAGGAATTAATTATTTGAAAAAGGGTGGAAGTTGCAAAGAGTGGGATTCATACTAAGTTTACCTGCTTTAAGCCACCTTTTGGTGCACCTGCTTCTCTTCAGTGCCTTTACCCAGAGCTTTTCATTTTAGGTGAACCGAATCATGCCCAAGGTATGTGTAGGCACCTACAGCGGATAATGTAAATATGTCCAAAATAGATGCTATTGTACTAAAATCATGTGGTCTTGCAGTGTATGTAGGGCTTTCACTGAAATAATTTCTGTGTGAATCTCTGGGTATCATCATGCTCAATTTATAAGAAAACAGCCAGTGTATCAG